TATTTGGTTTTTAAACAAGGCATACACGTATGTATAACTACAATGGAAAGAACATCATAATCATGATAAATTATATAGTGTCTAAAAGTAATATTTCATTACTTGACATCCACTTCTGATTTTAGAGTAAAACTCATTACACCTTTTTGTGATGGAAGAAACCACATCTTCTGTTTACCTTCTTTTTTGAAGACCTCAGGTTCATAAATATTTATCTAAAATGACCTCATATGTATTTCTATACTGTTGGGTGTTTTGTTTTTTAGCCTGAGTCTCGCTCTGTTACCCAGGCTGGAGTCCAGTGGCTATGCATAGGCGTCACCGTAGTGCACCACAGTCTTGAACTCCCGGGCTCAGATGACCCTCCGGTCTCAGCCTCTCAAGTAGCTGGGGCTACAGACATGTGCCACCATGCCTGGCCCTATTTTTATACTGTTAAATGCAGATAATTTCTGTTGTTTGGAATTGTTTTGAATTCCCTAACACTTCTTTATGTTTCACAAAAATTTCCTCAAAAGTTTTGCTCAATAATGTTCCTCAAAAGTTTTGTCCACCTCTGGCCCCCCAATTTGGCTTCCTTCTGGGAAGGCCTGGTCAGTAGCAGACCATCTCCTGCAGCCACTTTCCAATGGGCATAGGCGCCCTAGGCAAGATAGCCATCAGCCTTGTGTGTTTTAGATTCCACCTTATCCTGATGCTATTAAACATTTAAATTGAATAACAGTTCTCTTTGTTTTGATGCCATGCTTGCCAAGCAATCTTCTGAACCTAATTTCTTGTGACTCAGTTTCTTACTGTGTAAATCAATAAACTGCCATTCTGTCTTGTATATTTGTCTTTTGTGAACTTTGTTAGGATAAAGTGGCTTCCAGAATTTGATTGCCTTGAGACACTGGCAGCTGAGGGCCAGACCTTGCCACTTGGCAGACTGAGCAGGGCAGCCTGCTCGACAAGGCCCCTTGGCAGTCAGCCCCCTCCAAGGCCACACCCCAAGTTCAACATACATCTTTCTCTCCAACTTCTGCAAGCGTAACTGTGAACAGCATAATTCTGTGAGTGATGTGTTATTTCTTTGTGCTTTTTTCAAGAGGCATTATAAAAGGTTTTTTATGTTTTTCACCGTTCATTTTTTGAAAGGACTATATAAGGCCTTGGACAACTAGAGTTGGGTCTTGACCTTTTGTAGAGGCAAACTTGTAAAGTGGCAAACCACTTTATAAATTTTTATTAGCTACAGATCTTCTGGACATTTTCTCTGTTCATTAATATCTGCTTGCTAGAACAAATACAAGGCAAGTCAGAAATCATTCTACAATCGTAGGGTGTTGCTCTTTAATAGAACTTTTAAGGTTCCCCCCCTCCAAATATTTGTTGAAAAAGTAACAGGCAGTTGAAGAAAAGTATCCATGAACTTCAATTTTATATGCCTAGGGAAGGTTCACTGGAATACTGCTGCACATTGTATACCTGTCCTCCTTTTGAGGATTCAGGATGCATGTTAGCATATTTAAAAAGCTGGGAAGGCCGGGCAAGGTGGCTCGTGCCTGTAATCCCAGCACTTTGGGAGGCCAAGACAGGCGGATCACTTGAGGTCAGGAGTTTGAGACCAGCCTGGCCAACTTGGTGAAACCCCATATCTACTAAATATACAAACGTTAGCGTGCACCTGTAATCTCAGCTACTCGGGAGGCTGAGGTGGGAGAATCGCTTGAACCCGGGAGGTGGAGGTTGCAGTGAGCGGAGATCGAGCCACTGCACTCCAGCCTGGGCGACAGAGTGAAATTGTCTCAAAAAAAAAAAAAAAAAAAAAAAAGTGCTGGGAAATCTTATAGTAAGAAACGTATTTAACTTTGTGTAGTCTGGGTTTCTTAAATTTACTTAACTTCCTCAATTTCCAGTTCATCTCTCCTCTCCCACCCCAAGCCCCAATTAACAAATGTGATTTGATTTCAGAGATGTTTTCTGTGCACCATCCCTGTTTCACTTTTCCTTCTTTGACCTTTCCTTTTCTTTTTCTTTTTTTTTCAGTTAGAAACAGGGTCTTGCTCCATCACCCAGGCTGCAGTGCAGTGGTGCAATCACAGCTCATTGTAACCTTGAACAAGGGTTCAAGCAGTCTTCCTGCCTCATCCTCCAGAGTAGCTGAGACTACAGGTGTGCACCACCACACGCAGCTAATTAAAAAAAAAATGTAGAGAGGAGGAGATCCCAGGCTAGTCTCAAAGTCTTGGCCTCAAGTGATTTTGGCCTCACAAAGTGCTGGGATTCGAGGCATGAGCCACTGTGCCTGGCATTCTTTGACCTTTCTGCATCTGATCCTGAAACATAGAACATGAACCCAATGATTCTGAAATTTCCAAAAATGATTTGGCAGCATTGTCTTAGCAATCCAGTAAGAGCAGCTTAATCCTTAAAAATCACTTGGCTGTGATAATTCTTGAGTTTATTTTTCACTATTTATTGTTTTAAAAATAATGCTCATTATTATTAAAGCATTTAGCACAATACAAAGATTAAACTAGGTGCCTAGAATAGTATCTTACATTTGTATAAGCCATTGTGGCTTTCCTGTGTATTATCTCAGATGGCCATAGACTAGGCCTGTGAACCAAGCAGAGCAAATATTTTAAACCCTGTTTCGGGAAAAGTGACTTGAGTTAAGGGTGTCTGGTGATTTGAATAAGACCATATGATCATTTAGCAACAAGGCTAGCATTAGATCTTTTAATTTCTGACTTCTACCTTCTGTAATTTCTTTTTCCACAGTTGCTTATTAGCCAATCTTTGTAGAGTACTTTACTATTGGCTAATTCTTTCAACTACTCCTACTGCGCCCCCTCCCTCCCCCCAGTCAATAGGTTGTCTCATTCATTCATTCATGGCTACTCTGAGTCAGATGCAGTGGTGTTGTGGTGTTTTGAAAAATGAATCAGAAAGAGTTCTTACTTGGAGGTGTTCCTGGTTTGGTGGAATAACTGTTAGGGTTGAATTTTTCTTAGGAGTGATAAGCACTGGTACCTGACTACAAATGTTAGAGAATATGCACCAAAAAAATGAGAGATGTGATATCTCTTCCGGTAGAGCATGCTAGAGAAGTCACCACGGTAAGATTTCAGCTCAACTGGGCCATAAGGGATCAGCAGATTCCTGCAGAGACAGTGGTGGATATCACTGGTAGATGTAAGTGCTTTAGGGATAGGCCATGCAAGAGCTTGGAGGCATGAAGGAGCTGGGAAATAATGAGTGGTGAGGAAGAGCATCAGATAAGGATCAGAAAGATTAAAAGCAACAGATAAGGATAGCAAGTTAGAGTCCTGACTCCACATCACACTAGCTGTGTGACTGCTCCAAACTTCAGTTCCCTACTTTGCAGGGCTGTTACGAGGATGAAATGCAATCATACATGGCAAGTGCCTCTATCTTAAATCCTCAGGAGAAAAAAAAAAGGGGAAATCAGTGAAGAAAATATCATAAAGTTCCTGAAATATAACCACACTCAGTGAATGTGAGTTGTTCTTATTTATCATGTTTAGCTAATTTGACTTGGCAGTAAGGCAATGAGGAGCCATGACTGATTCTAAACAAGTGACACGATCAGCTTCTCGTTTAAAGTAGTCAGCAGAGGAACAAATTTATAATGCCAAAATAATCGATGCAGTTTTAGACATAATGATTCTCAGGCTCAAGCAGTACATTGAAGTATAAACCCCTAACAGGACAACAGTAGAACTGGGAGTTTGCCAAAGATACTTGTTTGCTGTCAACCTATACTTGACTTGCTTGACATCTTTTGGTTCATTCCATCAACCCTGGAATCTAGTCCACTTCAGGTCCACATCCAGGGCTCTGTATCTTCATGTAATTAAAGCAAGATGGATGTTGGGGCATAGATGGCAGGTTTGGGGAATACTTTTCAACTAAGAATGCTTTGGATGGTCACTCTTGGCAAGCTGTGTCTTCTTTGGACTGATCTGTTATGATCTTCATCTAGATAAGCAAAGCTTCTTTAATGTATGAACTGTTCTAGTCTTTTTATCCAGATGTGGCCATGGTAGGCAAGTCTCTTAGGGTCAGTGCCCACCTGCCGCAGACACCAGAGTTCAGTCTTCCCCCCGTCAAGTGGCCATTTTGCCACACTCCTTATCTAATAGTCCAGATTATCTTCTTTGAACCAGTACTTCGATTGTGTGGCCCAGTGATCTCTAAAAGTTGGCACTGGAATGCCTTTAAGCAGACATCCATCATCCAGTTAAGGCCACAGAGCTTCCCTATTGTTACCTGGCTTCATTCATACATTTCTGTTTCCTTCTTGGTTCCTATAGGCATTTGAGTTTCATTTGAAAATGCAATGGGCTGCACAGTCTGGAGAACTATATTATACCTTGTTATAGCACTTTTTGGAATGACCCAGAATTCAGAATGAAATAGGGAAGCTATGAACCCCATCCTAAGGGGCCTGTTTCTAAAAGTAATTTCCCCCTACAATATATGTAAAAATTGCTTTAGGCTGGTGTTTATATGCATATTTGATACAACACTTCATGTTTCATAGAATTCATAAGGCAGAAGCTACTTCTTACTATTTAACTAAACTGCATTAACTCTTAGGAGACTGACATTTATCAGGGACATAACTATTAGCACTATCTTACAGATTTTATTTAGTAATGAAATGACAAAATAGATGGAACTTTTCTTGTTTTGAATGCTTGTTGAATGTGACCTTTGTATATAAATGTGTCTATATTATATATGAATGCCACCAGTTCTTCTTTGCTGTCATTAACTCCTGGTTTTGCCACCACAATATGAATTTCTCTTGCTTTGGAAATAGTGCTTTTCTTTCTTCCCTAGCTTTGTATTATTTATCATGTGAAATACTTGGCTGTGTTAACTGTTAAGGTAGAATTTTTCTTAGTTGAAATTAAACAGTTCCAGAGTTTATTATAAAAGATAGCTTTTTTCCCCACTGAATAATTTGTTTTTCTCTGTTGTTTCAGTTTCTGTTACTATGGCAATGACGGCAGGGACTACAACAACCTTTCCTATGAGCAACCATACCCGGGAAAGAGTGACTGTAGCCAAGCTCACATTGGAGAATTTTTATAGCAACCTAATTTTACAGCATGAAGAGAGAGAAACCAGGTATAGTAAGGGCTAATCAAAACTTTTTTTTAGTTAAATAAGCTGTTGTGCTGTGAGTGGAATAGAAACTTGTTTTCCATGAATAAGATCCCTGCATGCTGTTTTTAAGTTTCCTGTACTGACAGTGCACCTAAACACGTGTTTTATTTTCACCGAGTAGTTTCCTGAGGTGCCCCAAATCTTGTGTATCTATATACCCATATCACATGTCAATTATGTTTTCAACAAACCTTTTCCAAACAGGAAATTATGATATGTTTTTACATTTTCTTTTAAAGGGGCGCCTGGCTGGGTGTGGTGTGGCTCATGCCTATAATCTCAGCACTTTGGGAGGCCGAGGTGGGCAGATCACCTGAGGTTAGAAGTTCAAGACCAGCCTGGCCAACATGGTGAAACCCCATCTCTACTGAAAATACAAAAAATTAGCCGGGTGTGGTGGCAGGTGCCTGTAATTCCAGCTACTCAGGAGGCTGAGGCAGGAGAATTGCTTGAAGGTTGCAGTGAGCCAAGGCTGCAGTGAGCAAAGATCGTACCATTGCACTCCAGCCTGGGCAACAGAGCGAGACTCAGAAAGGATACTTTATGAATGACTGACTTTACTCCAAAACCTTTTACAGTGTTGTGTGCATATCGGTGGGAATAGAAGAACAAAAAAAGAATGACATGTTATTTTGCCTTTAGAAAACTTACAGTAAAGGAGATAACACACATAAATATTACATGAAAGAGTGAAGAATATTAAGATAAGTACAAGGAAGGGAGAATGTGCTTTTGTCTAGGCAACTGGGAAAGCTTTGTAAATAGTGGTGGCATTTAAACAGGGCTCTAAAGGAAGAAAACTATTTATACATGCATAAAAGGAAGGAGACAGAGGCAAAAGAGCAGGAGGGAAGGATATTAAAGAGACAGAAGAAATCACCAGGTCAGGCAGTGACCAATTTGGCTCAAGCACAGGATGTGCTAGATTTCAACATCCTGGGAGCCTTGGATTCTTTGTTAATGTAGCTCTTTTCATGGTAGTGGAGAACTTTGGATGTTTTTGAGCAGAAGAATCAAATGAAAACAAGTGTTTCTCTGGAAGGGAACTTTAGTTGTGATACAGAGAATAGTTTGGGGTCAGGGTGGGAATTAGAAACAGGAAAGGCTAGTGATGTAGTCCAGGTAAATGGAAAGAAGGCTTGAATTAGAATCGTGACAACAGAGAACTGACAAGAAAAATTGATAAAATGTGGCTACTAGCCAGATATGCAATATGAGGGAAATAAGTCAATGTTGCCACTGAAATTTCATGCCTGGGCAAACTGAGGGTGGTAAAGTTTAAATGAAATAGAGAGGAAGAGTCTAATTTAATTTTGGACGGATTTAACTGCAGATTAGATACAGGTACGGTGAGAATTAGTGAACTGGAAAATAATTCAGGAAACATAATTCCAAAAATAGGAATATGCGAAAGAGAGTTGAGAAACACAGAGAATCATGAGAAAAGCTGACATATCTCTAAAAGTTTTGAAAGGGAGTTGAGGAACGAGAATGGAGCAGAGGCAAACAAATAAAAAAAAAAGAGCATCAGCAGAAATTCTAAAAGGTTCCATTTAGGCAGAAGGAAAGGGATCACAAGTAGAAGATCTAAATGGTAAGTAGGTGGATAAATCTCAACAAAAATTCTATAAAGCAACAGAAATAATAGCGATAATATCTTACACATTAAAAATAGAATTATAATATTTTCCAACAGCAAAATATAATTCAGGGAAGAAGTAATTAGAATGATGTTAGTAGAAAGGGCATAGAGATTAGCTTCAGAGTTTGACAAATTATGTTGTAATTTCTAGAGTAACCATAAAATGATAAAAATAGAGTTTGTAATTTCCAGACTAGCACAAGGAAAAAATTGGACTGAGAAAAAAAAAAGTCAGTTCAAAAGAATGCAAGAGAGAAAGAAAAACTGAAATACCAAAAATGGAAAAAATGAAATACCAAAATAAAAAGCGCAAGATAAGTTCGAAATAAATATAAATATATCAATAATTAAATGAATGATAAGGTAATTAAAGTCTCTGGAAGTGATCATATCATCCTGGGAGAGTGAATAAAGTAGAAGAGAACCAAGGAAGAAAAAGCAGGCACTTAAAAAAATTCCTCAGAATTTCGAAGGTTCATTGTCTTTACTTGCTGCAGTGTTAAAGTAATTCAGTTCGCTTTCTATTTCCAAATAAAGGAAAGTAACAATAAAATTATCTGCGTTATTAAAAAAAAAGTCTCAGCTTGGTGCCAGTGGAAGTCAAACAATCAGCTCATATTTTCTAAAAGCTTATACTTTAAGAAAATGTGTGTTGTATTTTTAAGGCTTAACTAATTGGAGAAATGCATAAGCCCAATAAATTTCTAATCAGAGCAAAGCATAAGAGCATTTTAGGTGGAAAACTATTTTTAAAAAAGGTACAACAGAAATCATGGATCTTCCTGTTCAGATATGGTAGAAATGGATAAAAGTTACTGTATCTCTTCCAGAATGAGGAATTATTTCATGAAGTGTTAGTCTTGGCAATAACCGAGGAAAGGGACAGTGGAAATTCAACAGAAGAATAAAGTTGCTTATATGTTGATAGCTCCTCCCAGAATAATGGTCCTCTTACTCTCTGGAGTCTTTCTGCAGAGGAGAAAACTGAAAATCATTCAACAAGCAGCACTGAAGTGCCTGGGGGTAGGTGATGGCAGCACAGACACTGATGTTAGGAGATTATTCTCATCTAAGGGTTGGGGTCTAGGGGAAATAATGCATAAACAAAAGATACAAATCAGTGTAATAAGCACCAAGGTAGGTGCCTATGACAAGCACTGAGGAAACATGTGATGGAGGATATGCTCTTAGGCCTCATCCTCTCCAGTGGGGTGCTGATGTATCAACAGCCTTTAAATGTTACAACTCTTCTATAAGAAGGAAAAATAAGTGATCTTAATGATGGTTTAGGAAAAAACTTACCTTTGGCCATGTAGCCATGAATAACAAATATCAAAAAAGTTGTGAGAGGGTTTCAGTCCTTAACCCTTATATCCATTCAGTTAAATCCTGAAAAGTTACTGTTATTCTGACACACTCCAAAACTAATTAGGAGGAGTTCTACTAGGTTTATATTTAGGGAAAACCAATACAATAGAAATAAAATAGTAAAATTCACTTGGAAATGAGTTGCAAAATGTGTTCCACAACCATCTCTGTAGTTTTAGTTACTTCATCCATACTGCCCTTACGTCAAATGCTTAGCTTAACTAACTTCAAGGGTGCTGTTTAAAAAAAAATGAGTAACTGAACCTGGCTGTACCTAGAAAAGCAAATGTTCTGGTAGCTAGTGGGTTTAAAAAAATATATATTTAGAGACAGAGTCTCGCTTTGTCGCCCAGAGCAGTGTGCAGGAGTACAGTGGCACAATCTCGGCTCACTGCAACCTCTGCCTCCCGGGTTCAAGCAATTCTTCTGTCTCAGCCTCCCAAGTAGCTGGGACTACAGGCGCCCAACACCACGCCCGGCTAATTTTTTTTGTAGTTTTAGTAGACACAGGGTTTCACAGTGTTAGCCAGGATGGTCTCTATCTCCTGACCTCGTGATCCACCGCCTTGGCCTCCCAAAGTGCTGGGATTACAGGTGTGAGCCACCGTGCCTGGCCGCTAGTAGGTTTTTACAAATACACATGTATGGCTTCCCAATTTTCAAATAATTTTAATACAATAAAATAAATGCAATTGCATTGAACATTTTTCCTTGATAAATTAAGGAAAACTGAGTTTAGAGTTTAAGTGAGGGACTTAGCCAAGCTCATTTAGCTAATAAGTGTTAGAACCAGGGATATCTACCTTAAAATTTTATACTTTTAGTCATTATAGTCATCTTTTTGTATTTCTAATATAAGCATTGTGAAATATTAATGATATTCGTGGATTGAACATTAAATAGCAGAGTTTTCCATATTAGAACATCAGTCATTGCCAACATTTCATTTAGGCAGGAGAGTGAAGTAAATTTTAGAAGTAAATTATTCATTTGGCCATATGAGAAAGCAAAATCTGGGTTTGTTTTTTGAGAAAGAAAACTATTCTTAGTGATTATCTTGATCCAACTTGAAAGATTTTTTTTTTTTTAAGCCTAGCAAGCTGAAGTGGTTAACTTGAATAAATAAATGTATATTTCTTAAGTGGGAATAGTTAGGAATGTGTTTAAAATTTAAATTGTTTTTTTCCTTTGAAAAGGCAGAAGAAACTAGAAGTGGCCATGGAAGAAGAAGGATTAGCAGATGAAGAGGTAATGTCATTACCTATAGTTACCGTACAAAAGCACCCCCAGTGACTTTTCATTCATTTGACATCAGCTATTTTATAACTTAAATAATGTGCATTTTATCATTTGAATATGGGCTTCTTACTTTGTTGCTGTCATGGATATCTTTTATTGATATCTTTAGAAAGAGGCAGGTTTTCTTTTTTTTTTCTTTTTAATTCCAAGAACACATATTCAGAGAACATTGCCTACTGTATTTTAGTGTGTGGAACAAGAAAGGCAAGCTACAGGAGGAATTAACCAATTGCCAATTCTTCTAAAAATTTTTTCTAAATATTCTTTTAAAGCTATCTATTTCTCTAGTTCAGTGCTATTACCCTAGTTGAAACTACTATATATTTTAACCTGAAAAATAACTGTCCCCAACTGGTCTCCCCATTTCCCACCCCTGGTTTTTCTGCGTACTGCAGCTAGAGTAATCGGTCTAAAAATAGATTTGATCACATCACTGCTTTGCTTAATAACCCTTCACTGGCTCCCTTATCTCAGGATATGGGCAAGCTCTTTAACATTGGTATACACGACCCTTCACTAGTTGGCCTCTGCTTCTCTCTCTCTAGCCTCACTTCTTGTCACCCACCCCTCATGCTGACAAGTATGAATTTCTTTGATGTCCCCTGTCTTGCCTGTGGACCTTTTCACATGCTCTTTCTGCTGCTTGGAACTCTTCCTTACTCCTACCCAACTCCCATTATTCTTAAGAATCTTTAGTAGCTGGGCATGGTGGGGCATGCCTGTAGTCCTAGCTACTTGGTAGGGTAGAGGTGGGAGGATCACCTGAGCCTGGGAGTTTGAGGTTGCCATGAGCTATGATACGTCATTTCACTCCAGCCTGGGCAAAGAAGCAGCTTTAGGCCTCACTTCAGGCATCACTTCCACTGGGAAATCTTCCTTAACCTCTCAAGGTACCTTCTTGTATTCTACTGTTCCTATCCCCATGGGAGCCTTAAAATACAGTCTTCCCAAAGACTAGACACTGTAACGTCTTGTTGAGCATTACATCTCCACAGCTGTCTGGCAGAGCTAAAACAAATATTTGGTGAATAAACGAATAATGGCTTTTGCCCTCAAGGAGTTTTAGATTAGGAGAGGGAGAGTGAGTGTGTGTGTGTAAAAATACGTACGCATGATAGAATGTGGTGAACTTTGAAAATATAGAGAAGATTTTTCCTCTAATTCAGAGGATCAGAAAAGGTTTCATAGAAGTAGTAACAATTGATTTGAATTGTAAAGAATGGGTAGAATTTACATTACGTATACAGAATAATGAGTTTACATTTGAGCTATAAAGGGTACAATAAAAGGAAATAGCGAAGTAAGTTGATAGCACACCATGGAAAGCTAGGTTTAGAATAGTTTACTAAAAAAGGTATACTTTAGTACTAGGCAATAGGGAGTCACAACCTAGATTGATTAGTTTAACATGCTGAGTGCAGTGGCATACACCTGTAATCCCAGCACTTTGGGAGGCCACGATAGGAGGATTACTTGAGCCCAGGAGTTCAAGATCAGCCTGGGAAATATAGTAAGACCTGTTCTCTACAAAAAAATTTAAAAATTAAGCATGGTGTCCTATGTATGTAGTCCCAGCTACTCAGGAGGCTCAGATGGGAGGATCACTTGAGCTCAGAAGGTGGAGGCTGCGGTGAGCTGAGATCATGCCATTGCACTCCAGCCTGGTTGACCAAAAAAAAAAAAAAAAGGAGTTTCTGTATTTAAAGAGTAGACCATCATCAAATGATTAATTGAAATCAAATCAGTATCTAATCTTCCCTGTACCTTTCCTAGGACTGTACCTGTTCCTTATAGTTGCAATGTTTAAATCAAATACAGTGTTTTATGATTTATACTAAAGGTGGTAACTTTGCTAATCAGTTGACTCAATCTAGAAAACTCAAATGTTTTTACATTTAAAATTATCTATTATTATTTACATAACATTAATATTTTAAAAGCTCATTTATGTCCTTTAAATTTTAGTGAGAAAGGTAGTGACTTAAATCTGTATTCCAATCTATAGAGGAAAAATAAGACTGAGCATATCTTTCCTCATTTTAAAATTAGAATTATAAATTTCTTATAATTAATAACCATATAATTGCATTTATATATTATACATCATTATATTGACACAGAAATCTTAAGTATCAGATCTTAATTTGAAGTGTAGGGAAGAGACCGCAAAAACAGATGCCCAAGCATTAAGCAGGCGACGGAAGTGAGACAAGCTGGCCAGGTTAGTTTCATAGTGGCATCTAGGGTTATATATTCTTTTCATCCAGATATACTTTGTTTCCGTATTCAACTTATATGATATTTTTGCTTCCACAAAGAAATATATTAATATTTTTCCTTTTTAAAAATTATTTATTATTTTCTTAAATATTGATCCTCACAGTTTATCTGTTGGCAAAGACATGCCACTTTTCACATTGCTGTAATTTAAGAGTCCCAGCCCACTTGGACATGTCTCCTGGGGACTGGCATCAGTGGTGGGGAGTGACAAATGAGGGAACCAAGGCTCATCTAAAGGGGATTGCTACCATTGGCCCCTGTGGCCAAGGCCCTGTTTTTCCAGAGAAGCTGTTAATCTGGATTTTTTTGCGGAATAACCAATCACCTGTTTTTGAAAACCAACTTGCAGTCCAAATCAAATATATCTGTAGGCTGAATATAGTTTGTAGCTTCCTGTTTGCAACTTCTGGTCCGCATCAGCAAACTTGTAACTACAGTTACAGCTATTTTCTCTAATTTTTTTTGATAACTTGTAGAAAATAGATGATTTTTCCATAAAAAGTCAGTGGCCCATGATTCCAGTTTATAAAACTTCTAATGTTTTTCTGTAAAAATGTTTTTAATTCCACAAGTGCTTATTATTAGGCCCCATGCCAGAGCCTGGATTATATCAAATTCTATAAAATAGACAAGCTCTCTCAACCTTAATATAAGTATGTTACAGCATCTTTATATGGGGTGGGCTTGATAAAAAATAAAATTGTTTCATAAAAATAAAATAGATGAAGTTGCTAGCTGAACGCTTTTACATCTGAAAACTTTGTATGCATGTCTGTCTTATACAAATACTGGCCACCCTACAGATCGAGTTTGAGGAGCACCTATATAAAAAAGAAGGGAGAAAGGAAGAAAATTACTTTCTAGTTTCATCTCACTTATGAAAATCCCATTCAGCATGGATTGTTATTTAACAAAAAACTAAATAGGCAAGTTCAAGCTATAAAAGAGAGTCGTGAAATGTTAAGCTGTCCACAGATTTTTGTTGTCTCCTTTGAAGAGGAAAGGATGCGATTACCAGAAGGATACTATTTGTCTTTCAAGGCTACTTAATCTATACAGATTGTGAGTAAATATATCAACAGGCTTTTTCACCAGTTTTTTGTTTGTTTGTTTGTTTAACATGGATTTGCTTCAGCTACCTCTGGACCCCAACACTGATTCTAAGACAAAAATCATGGAATCATTTTTTTAAAAATAATGTAACAATGTTATAGGTAATGCTCATTTTTATAGAATTATGTGTTCCATACACTTGTGACTCTCTCTCTTTGCTATTAAATGGCTGTGGCCAAAACCACATAAATTGTTTGAGTGCTGCATTATACAAACTAGTAGACAATTTATGAAACTGTGTATAGCGAGGTCATCTTTTCCATTCAGATTAGGCAGGATTTCTGCAACTATATCCAACTGTACTGTTTTATAATCTATAGAGGGAGAGATTCAAAATATCTTTCAAAATTCTTATACTTATTTATGTAATTTAAAAAAAGCCCTCCTTAGCACTTCTTTAAAGGACATGACACTATAGCGCCGCCAAGTGGCCTTTTAAAAATTAGTCTTAAAATTTTAAATCAGATACTTTTTGGAGCTATCTTTTGTTTTACTAGTAATTTATTTTATTATTCAAAAGGTATTTTTGAATACCTATGTGCAAAAAAAGGTATTCGTTATTGCATTTATGTAAAAAGCAGCAAAAAATAGTCTTCACTGTTGTTTTAGGCCACATTTGTTTTCTTAATTATATCAATGTAATTTTAGCTCCGTTAAAATATTTAAGTAGCTTCCCTTAAAGATGTTGTTATTTCAGGATATATATATACACACACATACACACACACACACACACACACACACACATATATATTTTTGAGACGGAGTTTCGCTCTTGTCACCCAGGCTGGAGTGCAACAGTGGGATCTTGGCTCACCGCAACCTCCGCCTCCTGGGTTCAAGCGATTCTCCTGCCTCAGCCTCCTGAGTACAGTTGCATGCCACCACGCCCCGCTGATTTTTGTATTTTTAGTAGGGACGGGGTTTCACCGTGTTGGCCAGGATGGTCTCAATCTCCTGACCTGGTGATCCCAAAGTCCCACCTCGGGATCCCACCTCGGCCTCCCAAAGTCCTAGGATTACAAGCACGAGCCACCGTGCCGGGCTTATTGCCTCACTTCTTAATGAAAAAAATTATATTTCATTGTTGCTTGCTTACTTTTTCCATAGTACCATTGTATTGTATACTCAATATCAGATGTGGAAAAAGACATTAAAGACATTAAAAAAAGACATTAGGCAAAGCCTGTTAATTTATGTGCTTGATTTTTATCTTCATTACTGTCGTAATTTACCCATTGGTGTGCCTTAGTGTATAACTTCATTGAGCTGTTTGAAGACATTTCTTGATTTTATCTTCTTAGATGAACTTTGTTAGAAGTATCAGAATTCCATTGCATCAATAATACATGTTTACATACATATTTCTAATTAATAGTTCACCTAACCCTTTTAAAAACAGATATACACAGGAGTAGGGAGAGGCTATACCAGGAGCTGCATTTAGAAGCAGTGTTTCTAAGCTGTTACTGTCATTTTGACTTGTCTATCCCTCCGAACTGAACCACTAACAGCTTGACAGGATTCAGTTGAAGATGAACAGGAGTTAAATTTTTTCACGGATACTGTTTCTTTTCCACTTAGTGTTTCCTCTACTAGGAGCTAACTGTGTCAAAAAACAGAATTTTGATTGGTGAGGGGGGAAAAATGAAGTTTAGAATAATAAAATAAATGCCTGTTCGAAATGTAACCTTCAGGTATTTCACAGTGTTGCTTGTTAATGGAAGTTATTTTTTGTGGTCTTTGTAGAATCAGTTATAAAATTACCGACTTGGATATTTTAGTGACTTCTTCTTGTAATTGTTTTTGCAATTTTATATTTTCAGGAAGTTGTATGCCAATTCTCAAGCAGTTTATTAAAATTTGCCCAAGAGTAAATTCTATCACAAGCAAATCTCTTTGGAAACACTACCATTATGCTGTTACTTTATTGTCACAAGTCTCAGTAGTTGAGAAAGAGCAACCTTGGAAGTTAAGGGATTGAAGCAAAGCAGATTTCCTGACAGAATAAAAATCAGTATCCGAATACTATCAAAATTTCCTAACATTTAATTTTTATTTATGGAATTAAGTTACCATATAGATGAAAGAATAAGTTATACATATATAGACAAATATGATGGACTAGATTACATATTTAACGGCGTCCACTTCAAGAGTAAAGATTTATCAATTGTTAAACATTTTTTAAATTTTCCTTAAAATGTTTTAGCCTAATAGTATATTACGTTAGTGCTATCATTTATTTTTATGTGCATCATCTTTTAATACTAGAAGCTCCTTCAAAATAACCTGATTATAAAATCATCCTTTTAAATTGTCTTTTTTTTAAATAGAAAAAGTTACGTCGATCACAACACGCTCGCAAAGAAACAGAGTTCTTACGGCTCAAAAGGACCAGACTTGGCTTGGATGACTTTGAGTCTCTGAAAGTTATAGGAAGAGGAGCTTTTGGAGAGGTGTGCTTCTTTTTAAAAGTCATTACTGCTACAAATATGTATCTTAAGATAATTTAAAATGTGTGTTAAAATATTAACATTACACATTACATTAATGTGTAATCCCAACACTTTGGGAGGCTAGGGTAGGTGGATCCCCTGAGGTCAGGAGTTCGAGACCAGCCTGGCCAGTGAAACCCTGTCTCTACTGAAAATACAAAAATTACTTAGGCGTGGTGGTGGGTGCCTGTAATCCCAGCTACTTGGGAGGCTGAGGCAGGAGAATCACTTGAACCCAGGAGGCGGAAGTTGCAGTGAGCTGAGATCCCACCATTGCACTCCATCCTGGGCGACATGAGTGAAGCTCCGTCTCAAAAAATATATATATATATTTCTTGAAATGCCAACACTGGCAAATTCCTGCTTTCTTTAAGGGAAGCTGCTTTTCATTCCTGAACAAATAGTAGTGACTATTTAACATTTATAATATATGTTTTTATATTTTAGGTGCGGTTGGTCCAGAAGAAAGATACAGGCCATATCTATGCAATGAAGATATTGAGAAAGGCTGATATGCTTGAAAAAGAGCAGGTATGAGTTCTTTAACACATGTAATATAAAGGAGCATCCACTGACGAGGTGTTAAGAGTGTTTATATTAGAATTTTTAAGAAGCAATTTACACATCTTACTACATAAGTTACTAACTTTTTGGTAGCCTGTTTTAGTGTTTCTCAATTCTTTTAAGGTTTCTTCCAAGTTTAAAATCTATGTATTAGTCTGCTTAGACTTCCATAACAGAATACAACAGGCTGATTAGCTTAAACAACAGAAACTTATTTTCTCACAGTTTTGGAGGCTACAAGTCAAAAATGAAAGTTCGGGCAGGTTTTGGTTTCTGGTGAGGCCTCTCTTCCTGGCTTGCAGATGGCCACCTTTCACTAAGTTTTCACATGGCCTTTCCTTGGTGTGTGCGGGGACACACACTCCTGTGAGAAGTCTCTGGTGTCTTTTCTTATAAGGATACTAATTCCACCCTTACGACGTCATTTAACCTTAATTAATTCCCTAAGGGTCCATCTCCAAATACAGGCTCAATGGAGATTCAAGCTTTACTCTGTGAATTTTGTAGATGCACGAACATTCAGTCCGTACCTTCTGAAATACCTTCTTTTCTGACTACAGTGAAAATAAAGGACAGTTCTTGGCTCCCAGAATCCCTATCACATATCAGATGATCAAAACTAGTCTCCTGGAAATTTGCTGATTTTACATATTTCTAAAATCTGTAACTTTATAAATATTCTGGGCTCTCTCCATGTTTCCTGTGCCTTAATGCAGTTACAGGGGGTGTCTTCGAGTAAAGGAGGGATGGCTTTTTGAAGATTTAAGGAGGGAAATTGTGAAATGGTCATTTTCAGGTGTGGGAGAGCAGACCTGCTAAAGAAATGCAATTGAAGGCTCATTGAGATTTGCAGTCCTGAATTTAAAGTGAAACCCATTGGCATAGTTGGGTGATTTTTCACTGTAGTTTCAGTTAGGGTAGGAAGGTAATAGGAACTATCTGGAGACAGGGTTATAGGGGATTTTGTTGATGACAGGCTATGATTCTCCAGAGGGAAGAGGTTTGGAAGGCAAGGAAGGTTGAGATATTGAGTTGGATTAGAGAACTGTAGATAATGATGGGAATAAGGATGTGGGTAAAGATGCATAGGCTCAGAGACGAGGTCAACGGGAATCTAACTTAGCCATAATGGGATTAGTCCTACTAGGGTATAATAGGAAGGACAGAAGGAAGCAGTTAGTTCCAACTGTAGTGTAGATACCAGCTACATGTGGCTGCTGGACACAAATTGAGATATCTAGCAAATAAGACTTGGTGCAAAAAAAAAAACCCCATAAAATATTTCAATGATTTTTATATTGATTACATACTGAAGTGATAACATTTGGATATATTAGGTTATATAAACTATATTATTAAAAATAATTTGTATGTGGCTTCTAGAAAATTAAAAAATTACATATATGACTTGTGTTACATCTGTACTGGACAACCCTTGGTCTAGAATATTTTGTGGGAAGTTAAGGAGCCTGGACCACTGCTCTTTCCTGTGGGGAGGTGGGGGGCGGAAATCTCACTGTAGCCCAACGTTTAGTTGCTTTTGCATTTTGGGGTTTTTACTCCTGTATAAATTAATTTGCATTTGTTACCACTGAATTTTGTCTTAGAAAGCTTTTTTCTACTTAGTTCTAATACAGCAATATTTTAACTTTTATCACATTTATTTTAATGCAAACCACCCCCGCAAAATTAAGTAGCAACTGATCTCCCCACTATTGTTGTACCAGATTATCACAGGTCATACTTTCCAACCTTTGCATCCTGTTTTGGAAAGAGATCCTGTAATTTGGCTTTAAACCATTTAACAATAATCAAGTCATATTTATGTTGTAGCTGTTTTCTTTACACACCAGATGCAACACCAAAGTTTAGGACTTTTCCTTACCACCTTAAATTGCTTCATGAAAGGTAATAGTGAGGCACTCTTGCTACCCCTTTTCACTTAATGAAACAGATCCACAGAAATTATAAAGTATTTTCATGTCAGAAAACAAGTTCTTACTCCTCAACTCTTATGCTTTGATTTCAGGATATTTACTGCACTAGGAGTAATTCCAAATATGACACTTTAAGCAGATCATATTTTATTATCATAAAACGGTTTACAAATGTATGTTCTCATGTGCTTTGGACCAGAGTTTATAATGTTTCACAGTGAAAATAGCAAAAGTATAAATCAGATCTTATTATTAACCTTTGGAAAAAGTGTGTAAATATATTAATGCAAAAGCTTCTGCAAACAGTTATACCAACCCCATAAATTATCCAGTTTATAAAATTTTCCAGTCTATAACATTTTCACATAATAGTATCTCTAGTAATTATGTGTCCGAGAAATCAGTGGCAAAATCCCCAAAAGTTACACGAATTTGTTGTAGCTAACATTTATAGGTACGATAGAGGTTTTATGTTATAATACTAAATATAATATAGTTACTATAATTGTCACTATTTCTTAAAAAACACCAAATAATGATCAAGCTGGGACCTTTAACAATTAAAAATAGTGTGCTATTTTTCGCCAACCTTGGCTTTGCTATACCAATTTACCGGGCATTGCTTACTCTTTTTTTTTTTTGAGATGGAACCTCATTCTGTCACCAGGCTGGAGTGCAGTGACGCGATCTCAGCTCGCTGCATCCTCCGCCTAGCAGGTTCAAGTGATTCTCCTGCCTCAGCCTCCCGAGTAGCTGGGACTACAGGCGCGTGCCACCACGCCCGGCTAATTTTTTGTATTTTTAGCAGAGACGGGGTTTCACCATTTTAGCCAGGATGGTCTCCATCTCCTGACCTCATGATCCGCCCGCCTTGGCCTCCCAAGTGCTGGGATTACAGGCGTGAGCCGCTGCGCCCAGCCCGGCTTACTACTTTTAACTTTAAAAGTCACACTATGACTTTTATATGACAAAGCCAGGATCCTAGGCTGGGTAGAGATTCTAGTTAAAAAGTTGTTAGACTGATTCTTGCTCTACCTCAGAGGCCTTAGCCTCACATAATATACCTGTGGACCTCACCTTTTTAGACCTAAAGATATAAGCTAAAATAAACTATTTCTTGAGGTTCTCCATATTTGATGACAATATGATCATTCATATATGTATCAAATCTTCTGAAATTCCATCTTTTCTTCATTAACTGTTATTGATGGATAAGTGTAAGAGATGAGTTTGACAAATGTGTGATGTGCTTACGATTATTTTTTTTCAAAAATATATTCATCTAGGTGGCCCATATCCGAGCAGAAAGAGATATTTTGGTAGAAGCAGATGGTGCCTGGGTGGTGAAGATGTTTTACAGTTTTCAGGATAAGAGGAATCTTTATCTAATCATGGAATTTCTCCCTGGAGGTAAAAGCAAACATTGTATCAATGACAGACTGATACAAGCACATCTTTATATGCAATAATAATTTTATTGGTGAGGTTTACTTTTATATTCCTTGCTCTGAGGCTTTACAGTGTCATAGTTTAAAAATATTTACTCCCATATGGATGCTCATTTTTACCACAAACAGATTGTTTTAAAGGAATGATAAAGTTGGCACATTTTAAATATTACCGTTCTGGGTTCACTGATTGCTAGTGAAGTTATGTTAGTTTATTTTGTGTTGTTACAAAAAAAATACATGAGACTGTGTAATTTATAAAGAAAACAGGTTTAATCATTGCTCAGCAAAGAGGGCAAGGGGAAAAGAATGGCAATGGAGGGCAAAGAATACTTGCTTTTTTGTTTGTTTTGTTTTGTTTTTAATTTTTATTTTTTGAGATGAAGTCTCGCTCTGTTGCCTAGGCTGGAGTGCAGTGGTATGATTTTGGCGCACTGCAACCTCTGCCTCCCTGGTTCAAGCGATTCTCCTGCCTCAGCCTCCTGAGTAGCTGGGATTACAGGCACCTGCCACCATGCCCAGCTAATTTTTTTGTATTTAGTCGAGACGAGGTTTCACCATATTGGCCAGGCTGGTCTCGAACTCCTGACCTCAAGTGATCCACCCACCTCAGCCTTCCAAAGTGTTGGGAATACAGGTGTGGGCCACTGCCCCCACCCCCCTATTTTTTTTAAGCCTCAAAAGACGTATGAAAAAAAATGTAATCAGTTGTCAATTCTGTGTTGTAAGTGCACCAGTGTTTACAACAGTTAAAACTGTTAAGACTTTTAAAATTCCTTGAAAATAAAAGAATGTCTGCAGGTGCCTTTTTTTAGTGGGATAATGTCCCACTAAACTCCAAAAGAATATATTTGGTTTCCAGGCGCAATTATTCTGATTTTTTTGCAGTTTGACATTTGCCTCAGCAGTTAATTGAGTGGTATATATTATTTCATTATCAGCTCTTTCGTGATTTGATTTCACATGGCGTCTGCCTTAAAACCATTAAAAGTCATGAAATTTCTGCTTATGCAATGGCACTTTTATTTGGCCCAAGATATGGTTAGAAATATACTGGGTAGATCATAAAATGCAAACTCAGGAAAGCTAGCTGGGCATGGTGGCTCATGCATGTAATCCCAGTACTTTGGGATGCTGAGGCAGGCAGATAGCTTGAAACCAGGAGTTTGAGACCAACCTGGCCAACATGGCAAAACCCCATCTGTACTAAAAATACAAAAATTAGCTGGGTGTGGTAGCACACACCTGTAATCCCAGCTACCTGGGTGGCTGAGGCACGAAAACTGTTTGAACCCAGGAGGTGGAGGTTGCAGTGAGCCATGATCACACCACTGCACTCCAACCTGAGCAACAGAGTGAGACTGTTTCAAAAAAAAAAAAAAAAAAAAATCAGGAAAGCTTTTACAAGGTATTCCACCTTTGAGACATTTTCAATAATAATGTATTTGACTTCCCTTTATTTAGGTGACATGATGACATTGCTAATGAAGAAAGACACCTTGACAGAAGAGGAGACACAGTTCTACATTTCAGAGACTGTTCTGGCAATAGATGCGATCCACCAGTTGGGTTTCATCCATCGGGATATTAAGCCAGACAACCTTTTATTGGATGCCAAGGCATGTGAATAAACTGGTGAATTACTAGGCTGTTGATTATTTTTTTAGAGCAGTAGAGCTGATTTTGTGAGTGGATATCAGCAACTGCAATTTAGAATATTGCTAAACAACATTATTTTGTATGATAAGGTACTAGGAGACAACTTGAGAATGAAATGACAACAGGGAATATGGCTCTCTTTTTATCTCCCTCCATTTTCTACTTTTAAAAATCATCATCATCAGATACTTATAATTTTACATTTTACTTGTATAAATCCCAAGCTAAGAATTATTATAACAATTGGCATTTAACAGAGGAGTTTATAACAAGGCTTTTTGTTTTCAAAGTTAATATAATCTAATTTTACTGGATTTTTTTTAGGGTCATGTAAAATTATCTGATTTTGGTTTGTGTACGGGATTAAAGAAAGCTCACAGGACTGAATTTTATAGAAATCTCACACACAACCCACCAAGTGACTTCTGTAAGTTTGGTTTTGTTTGTTTGTTTTGTTTTTTCCCTGGTTAAGATACTGTAGAGAACGGAAGGTTCTTTCCCTTTCCCCACTCCTTAATCCACTGTGTTTTAGATGTATATGTGTGATTTTGTTTTTGTGGAGAGCATTTTTCTCTCGTGATTACAATTCCATATTGTTGAAATTAGCATTTCAGAACATGAACTCAAAGAGGAAAGCAGAAACTTGGAAGAAGAACAGGAGACAACTGGTGAGTCAACCAGTTTTTAAGAAAGAATTTTGTGCCTTGGTTCTAAAATCTTAACTGGTTTTAACTTGATTATTTGTATCTTTATAATAATTAGTATTCACTTCGTAACAATGATAGTGCTTGTTTTGGAATCACACGGTTTTCTTAGTTTCTCTGTTAAGTTTCCTTGCCTGTAAAGCAAAGTGTTGGTTTTTACTTTATAACTTTAGAGTACTTAACTGAGCATACCTATGAGTAAGCTGTTTACTAGTAATTAGCACTTTAAATAAAACTCACTGAGGTGAATGCAATTGTAATGAATGCCTTGTGATTTCCATTTTTCATACCTGTGTTATAAATCCTGATACAACAAGTATCAATCGGCAAGTAAAGTGGTTGTGAGTTTCTAAGAACTTCTTTATAGACAAAGTAAACAGGAAGTTTGGGATGTAACCAGTGTTACAATAAAACAGATAAAATTTGAAAAAGCTGGCTTTGCCACAGATAAATTTACCCCTTTAATACAGAATTACATGATTTTTCACCCTATACTATTTCCTCTCTGTAACTGAGCAGATAGAAGAATTGCTTCCCCTTCCTCCTCTTTCCCTTTGTCCTGTTAACGTGGTCCATGAACTGTCTACAGGTTAAGAATGTGCCTTTGGATTTTGTTTTCCTCGTTTCTTTTAAAATGCCTGGCACATACAGACACTCTATAAATATTTGTTCAACCAAGTGATGAAAGGAAAACTCACCATTCCCTTAGGAAAGTCAATAGACTGAAAAATAACAGGCTAATACCCTCTAAAACCAAATAAAATGACCTTTGCATTATTGAGTTTATTATATCATTAACCTAAGTAACTGCAAACTTCCTATGCTTGTAAAAACATTTCAGTATTTTTAAATATATTCAGTTACACATTAAGGAGAGACACTTTGTTTTACTTTTAAAATGTGTCAGTTTTAGATTAGGTTTTGCGATTGAGAATAATTGCAATATTCCCTATTTTTAAAGGGGAAAAACTGAATACTGCTTAAAATTATGGTGGGGGAATTCTGTACCCCCCCATTTACAAAATATTCATAGGTGATTACTCACGTGTGTGTTTTATTATTCTCATGGCCAGTAGTTCCCAAGCCTTAGATCAAGTGTTTCCCAAGGGAGAAGTAGAGAGGACTCAGTGTTTGGGGCAGGAAATTTCTTTAGCACTTGGATCCCCTGCCCTCTAAATGCCAGTCATGTCACTGAGATGACAAAATCTGCAGTCATACATTTTGCCATGGCCCCAAGAGTACTACCCCTAGTTGACAATTACTGCCTTGTAGAAATCATTTTTGTAAGATTTTATATGAATTAAGAATTAAAAACTGCATAGCTTCCTAATAGATAAGCAGTACCCTGGAACTACATTTATAATGAAAATACCTCATGCTTATTTTTATAGTTGGTAGTGTACAAAACACATCCGTTTATCATTTCATCTTCATATCAACTCTATTAAGGCAGGTATTACTATTCCAGTTTTATGTAGGCAGAAGCTGAGCCTCAGAGAAATGAAATAATTTGCCCAAGAACACATTAGTAGTGAGTGGGGAAGCCAGGTCTTCTAGGTTCAACTTTTTCATTCTTTTTGAAATAGACTGAAGGCTATATATAAAAAAACTTAATTGAGCTGCTTGTGGGGGCAGAAATAATATATTCTTTTAAAATGCCTGGCACATATGGACACTCTATAAATATTTGTTCAACCAAGTAGGGAAAGGAAAACTAATTCAGCATTCCCTCAGGAAAGTCAACAGACTGAAAAATAATAGGCTATAACATATTATCTGACTTACTACCTACCACTAAGCCTTGCACATGATTAACATGCAAAATAAATATAAGTGAAAATTTAACTCCTCTATATATTGCTTTTTCTAGTACTAAGCCATCCTCAGATAGATAGTTTTTAAATGTTAAGAATGCTGGTTTGACAAGCTGCTCCTTTGTAGGCATATTCCACAGTTGGGACACCAGATTACATTGCTCCAGAAGTATTCATGCAGACTGGTTACAACAAATTGTGTGACTGGTGGTCTTTGGGAGTGATTATGTATGAAATGCTAATAGGTATGTTTTATCATTCATTTATGTACAAAATATGTATATTTCCTTGAGTGCCACTGTTTGAATATATTACAGATATCATTGACTAAAATATTTGAGGTCTTTTAAACTTAATTCTGATGTTCCCCCAATGTTAAATACATACTGATCAATACCAGTGAGGTCTCCAGGGATCCTGTTTCAGGAAGGTGGGTATTTAACCCAGACTCCCACATATAAAAGTGGTTATCTTCATAGCTTTTCAGGTAAAAGGGGAGGCAGTGCTTTAAATCCTTTATTGACTTTATTAGCAATGTTATTGTAAATTGATGAATGGTGGCATTTTTGACTATTAAATAGGGCACTCAGGGTTGTTTGGTTTCTTGTAGCACATGTTTGGTGGGTATAACTTCACTGATCACAAAGCTGATGAAACGTTTTTTATTTATTTGATACCTAGGATATCCACCTTTCTGCTCTGAAACACCTCAAGAAACATACAGAAAAGTGATGAACTGGAAAGAAACTCTGGTATTTCCTCCAGAGGTACCTATATCTGAGAAAGCCAAGGACTTAATTCTCAGGTTAGTGGTTAAATTCCTAGAGGAGTTCATAGTGTCTTAAAATTTCCTAAGAACCTAAAAGACTCATTTCACTTTTGTAGGGGAAGAGGGGATGTATACACTGATGTATACAGTCAAAGAGATCAATAAAGCTGTTTTTAAAAATGTTAACTCTTAAAAGGAAGTATGTGGAAAAAAAATTAGGAATTAAAAAGAGGGAGGAGGTCTTGTATTGCTTCAGTTACTGATATATATAAAAGCAGAAGGTCACTTCTGTTAGAATGCAATGACCTGATTCCATTAAAAAGAGGGAAAATGTTAATAGCAGATTCCTGTCATGAAAAGTATATATGTGAAATCTTCTAAGCAAAAAATTCCATGTGTTCCTCAACTAATATGAAGTGTTTGGTACTGCTGTGAATGGCTGGAAGGAATATAAATTGGAACAACTTGTGGGAATAGCAGTTGGCAGCATATTATTTTTTTTAAATCCCTAAACTATATATGACCTTTGACCCAGAAGTTCGAGGGATTTCGCTTATGCAGATAATCAGATATGTATAAAGATTTAAGTACAATATGTTTATCATGGTATTTAATAGTGAAAATTGAAAACTATTTAAATGTTCAACAATAGTGGACTGGTTCAATAGTAGACTGGCTATAATATTTCTATTTGTAAGTTTTAGAAAACAAATTTATTGGCCGGGCACAGGGGCTCACACCTGTAATCCCAGCACTTTGGGAGGCGGAGGTGGGCAGATCATGAGGTCAGGAGATTGAGACCGTCCTGGCTAACACAGTGAAATCCCGTCTACTAAAAATACAAAAAATTAGCCAGGCGTGGTGGCGGGTGCCTGTAGTCCCGGCTACTCGGGAGGCTGAGGCAGGAGAATGGTGTGAGCCTGGGAGGTGGGACTTGCAGTGAGCCAAGATCGCGCCACTGCATTGGAGCCTGGGCGGCAGAGTGAGACTCTGTCTCACACACACACAAAAAAATTCTTGAAAAATATTTAATGACTTTGGCAAATTTTCTCAGTATATCAAGTGAAAAAAAGTAGACCTAACATAGTAACCATGGTAGCAACACAGTATTTTAAATATTGTAAAAGATTAGATTAGAATATTTACAGTAGTTATTGCTAAATAATGCGCTTACAGATTTTTATTTTCTTCCACATTTCCTACAATAAACATAGTTAACGTCAATAAAAGAAAAACATATTGCTTTAAAAAAGAAATATTTGAAGTAATACAGCTAGAATACTTTAGATGTAACTTTTGTATGATAATTTCTCTGCTTCCGTGTTGTAGATTTTGTATTGATTCTGAAAACAGAATTGGAAATAGTGGAGTAGAAGAAATAAAAGGTCATCCCTTTTTTGAAGGTGTCGACTGGGAGCACATAAGGTATGTTCCTAGGCTTTGAATGGGAAAGGTCTGAGTAAAAACAAATTTCTAGAGTTGACAATTAATTTACCTCTGATTCTGCTAGATTAAATACAAAAGTAACATATAATGTCATTGGTGCAGTGTTTTCTGGATTATGTAAGTGAGTGGGACTATTGTGGCTACAGCCAAATGACTGATTTTAGGCTAACATCCACTTTCAGGGAAGGACATTGGGCACCTTTTTAAATTCTTACGTTCATACTCACAGTGAAGGCTGTTAGCACATGAAAGATGTATTTACATTTCACACAGTGACCCCTCATTTTTGTCCTTGCTGTAATGTAGCACATAGTGTCTCCTTAATTAATTTATAATAAGGTACCCTCTTTAAACATTGGTTGGGCATTATACAAGTAACTTTTAAGAATTTGCTTACAGTTGTTAATTGTGAGCACTGGCTTTTTTTCAGTTTATGGCCAAACTACTGTCAGTAGGTTTGATCTGTTCTCCACACAGCAACAGTTTAGAAGCGTAAATCTGGCCATGCCACTTTGCTGCATCCTTTTGCACTTGGAATACAGTTAAGAAGCCTTCACTGCTTTCTTAGGACTGCAGGATATAGCGCTTGCCTCATCTGCAGAAGTTGCATCTTGGATGGCCTTTCCTACTCCTCTTCCCACCTCTAAGTTTTGCCATTTGCTATTCATCCTGACTGAAATGCCCTTTCCCCGCTGCCTCTACCCCTACCCTGCCTAGCTGGCTCCTTTGCATCTTCCAAGATAGCTTATGTGTCATTTCCTTGGTACAGCTCTTCACTGGAGAACCTGCTGTGTGCTAGGCATTCTGCCTATTACTATTAACTTATTTTTTTGAGACAGGGTCTCTCACTCTGTCGCCCAGGCTGGAGTGCTGTGGCATGATCATGGCTTACCGCAGCCTTGACCTCCCAGCTTCAAATGATCCCCCCACCTCAGCCCCCCAAGTAGCTGGAACTATAGGCGCATGCCACCACACCCAGCTAATTTTTTTTTTTTTTTTGTAGAGATGGGGTTTCACTATGTTGCCCAATTGCTCAGGCTGGTCTTGAACTCCTGAGCTCAAGCGATCCACCTGCCTTGGCCTCCCAAAGTGCTGGGATTACAGGCACCCAGCCCACTCTGCCTATTGTAATAATAGCTAATGTTTAAAAATCATTTACTGTGTCCAGCACTGTTTTAAGTACTCTACTTGCATTTCTCATCTTATCCTCATATAAGCTCTATAAAATAGGAACTGTTATTATCCCTGTTTTACAAGTGAGGAAACTAAGGCACAGAGAAGTTATAGTGCCGCAGTGTGGAGGCCTCTTAAACCACTATGCTGTATAATACTATACACACACAACTTAATTCAATAGAACTATGATACCCCCCATTTTACAGTGGGAAGGATGCTTAGAGACTGTCAGTTCTTTTGGTTTTATAAGGAGGAAACAGTCATGGAGCAGGGACTTGGCTGCCTAAGGTCATACTGCTAGTTAATAACAAGGAAGGTCAGCTCTCAGGCCTCCAGGGTTCTTTCCTCTAAACTAGGTTTATTAAAGTAGTATACTAAGTATAAACGAGTTGGAATAATTCAGGTAAAAAATATATATGGTTTTACATAATTTGGTAAACTTAGCACCTAATAAATCCAATAAATATTTGTTGAAAAAACAGAAGCAATAAAAACTGATAGCTTCTTTTGACCATTTCTGTAGTTAAACTTTTTAGCATGATAAGAAGGCATTTTCTTGACTGATTTCTTTTTAACTGAGTATCTTTGATTCTCTTAAATTTTATATGACAGAAATTTTTGCATGCAGATTTCATCACAAATATATAGTTCCTTCACCTATGTGCCCCTTATTTTCCCAAATGACATTTTATGGATTGTCTACTAGTAGAATTCTATTCCTAAATCAATTAAGAAGGATCCCGTCCTCATAATATCTCACATACTTTATACAATTATACAATCTTTTAAACAAAACCTCTTCTTTTACTTTTCATTAGCTCATTTTTCCTCTTAAAAAAAATAGTATGAGAAAGGCTTGGTACAGAGATATAAAAATGACAAGTAGGTGGGGATGCTTAATGGGTACAAAAAGAAAACAGAATGAATAAGACCTACTACTTAATAGACAAGAGGGTGACTATAGTCAATAATAACTTAATTGCAAATTTAAAAATAACTTAGAATGTAATTGGATTGTTTGTGACTCAAAAGATAAATGCTTGAGGGGATGGACCCCCCCATTCTGCATAATGTGCTTATTACCCATTTCATGCCAGTATTAAAACATCTCATGGACCCTATAAATATATATACCTACAACATAACCACAAAAATTAAAGAAAAAATTTTTAATTCTAAGTAAATGAAAACATTTTAATAAAAAATTATACTCAACTATTTTGAACTCCCTTTATTCTCAAATCCACAATAAATTTCCTTGGCTTTTCTAATATCTATAAAATGGTATGCAGAATTTACAAGTAGAATGATTTGTTGGAAATTGAGAATTCATGCCTACTCCATACCTTTTTATAGGGAAAGGCCAGCAGCAATCCCTATAGAAATCAAAAGCATTGATGATACTTCAAATTTTGATGACTTCCCTGAGTCTGATATTTTACAACCAGGTAAGACAATCTATAATGTAACTACCACTATTAAAAGTCTGTGAAGATGATGGCATTTCACTAATGAAATTCCTTTAATTTTTCTCTTTCTAGTGCCAAATACCACAGAACCGGACTACAAATCCAAAGACTGGGTTTTTCTCAATTATACCTATAAAAGGTTTGAAGGGTTGACTCAACGTGGCTCTATTCCCACCTACATGAAAGCTGGGAAATTATGAATGAAGATAACATTCACCCATAACCAAGAGAACTCAGGTAGCTGCATCACCAGGCTTGCTTGGCGTAGATAACAATACACTGAAATACTCCTGAAGACGGTGGTGCTTATTGACTACAAGAGGAAATTCTACAGGATTAGGATTTCTGAGACTACTATAGGAATTGGTTGGCAGTGCCAGCTGGCTCTTTTTTTTTTTAAATATTTTATTATTTTTGTTAACTTTATTATACGAAGGTACTGGAATAAAAGGAACGGACATCCCTTTCTAACTGCACTGCCTACATGCGTCTTAAGGTCCATTCTGCCTGTGTGTGCTGTGGCTTTGAACTGTAACACCTCTAATTAATTCAGGAGAAACACATATCATTTAAAGCAACATAGGCTAACCTGTAGGTAACACTGCAGTATTGATGTTTTACTGCAAATCTTATGGGTCTAGATAATCAGTAAAAGCCATCTTCCATAGTTGGTGTTAGAACATTGCCCTATTGGTTTGGACATCTGTAGAATATATATGAAGACAATTTCTGTGATGGTTTTAAGAGATTTAAAAAGAAATTCACTGGTTCTTTAAAAAATAGAATTTATCATCAAGTTATTACACAAACTCCACAGTAAGGAGTGACAAGTTTATAATAAGGAAGAGAAAGTTTAACACCTTCACTCAAGCACTCCACTAATATATTTACGTTGCATTCAGAAATACTAATGACCTTTATATACGTAGTCTGTATACTCATAGGGAGATGTACTGTATTATATAACATGTAAAGTTGATTTTCTTGTGACAAGAGGACTTCTTTTTTTAACAAGAGGACATGGCATTATTTTAATTTGATTATGGTGAGTTGAAATTAAGAAATGACCATGAAGGCTGCTTGTAGAATTAGTGTATTTTTATTAAACTATTTTTTTAAATGTCAAACTTCTATCATGTAAATGGACTTGTAGAGAACAAAAAGCTATTTACTTTGGTTTTCTAGAAAGTTGTTACATATCATGGCTGGTTAACTTTTATTTCTTTTGATGAAAATTTTTCCTTTGATAGTACTTGTATTATTGTGCCATTATTTTCTTATGCTCCAAATGTACCAAAGATCTTGAACAGAATGGATGTTCACAACTGAGTAGAATTTTCCTTTCCTGTGGGCATGGTGTATTCAGACCTGACAGATCTTTGATAGAGGTCAGCTTATTAAAGGGCAATATTGTTCATGTTTAGCTACATCACTGTGGTGAATATGGATGGAATTAAGGAAGTAAATGCAGGCCAGGGGGTTGTGATGAGAGGAGAGATAATATCAGCATCAAATTCTTTGGGTATCTCCCTAAGAATTAAATAATCTTTTCTAGCTTAGTATTTTAATTCTAATTCAAACAACTCTCTGAGGTTTTGATTTCATTAGTAGTAGCTGAGGAATAATATGCTAGCAATGAACAGCCTAATGTTTGTCTTAACTGTTAATGGATGAAAGTTTTTAAAGATACAACCGTGATAACCATTATAAATGATCTGTGATCAAAATCTAACGTGATGAATTATTTGTAGGAATGTCTTCCTATTGGGGAAGGATTGCATAGGAGCATTATGCAAATCTACAAAAGCTTTTATAAATGTTGCTGCTAAGTAGCTCCACAGTGTTTTCAAAAGACCATCCTGGTTCCCCCAACTCTCCCATTTTTGGTTTGTTTCTTTTTAAATATTTGTGGAGTACTTATGTGTTTATCAAACAGTTCACTTCCATTTTTTCTAGTCTGGATTTTTTGAGTATTTAGGGGAGAGAGCTATTAAAAACTCTGTGGATTTCTCAATTTGACTAACTCTAATTTTTCTAATTATAACTGCCTTTAATTAAATATTAACTTTTGCTGAGGTTTATGAGATTTTCTCACCCCACATCACTCCCCTTTTTAAAAAAAGGACTGTTTTGCTAGTGTGATAATGAATAGGTAAGATATGAAATAACTGCAACATTGTCTAGTTCTAGTATGGTAACTATTCTTGAAATGGTACTGAAAAATACCATTAATTCAAATTGACAGAGATTGATAAAAAGAAACTGATTTACCTAAGTTTACTTTTTAATTGCATAATAGAGCATTTTTTGTTTTGAGTTCCCTCATTCTTATTACGAGAAAGAGCTTGCAAATAGTTTTACTTTCTTGGCACTGGAAGGGTAGTTCTGGAAAGCTACTTTGTTGAGAGTCTCATTCTTCCCTGGAGTTAATAGAGTGATTCACAATCTTTGGGGTTTTCTCCTCATCAAAAGCATTTCTTAAGTGCCTATCTAAAAGCAATTAAAGACTGTGTCTGCCCTTTGGAAGCTAAGAATTCATGATGCAAATTAACTAATTTGCAAAGTACCCTTGAGATTGAATTTTCTCTATTACACATTTCCCATACTTCAGGTGAATAATTTAATTTAAATGACAAAACCCTATCTAATCAACTGGGCATAATGACATTTTCTTTAAATTAGACTCTATTTTGAATTAAAAGAGTTTTATTATAAACTGTGTGTTTTTGGTTTTTCTAAGTATATAGAAAGCTTGTATAATTCAGATTTATCGATTTCCTGATTTAATGTAGACTTTGACTTTTTTATTAAAAACCTTTGTATTAAAGCAAGTTATGTTATTTTTCTTTTATGCATTTATTACTAACATAGCTTTAAATCTTTAAATGTATTGAAGCATTGTGCTGTCTGAAAATAAGGAATTGCTTATAAACCAGCCACTTCTGAATACAGATATAGCTGATTTAATAAGCTAGTTAGTGAATGGCAAATAAGTGTGGAGTATTAAAAATGTTCTTTGGTTGGTAAGGCCTAAGATAGGGTTTCATTTATTTCTATACTTTTTCTGTTTTTTAAACACCTGCATATTTTTGTGTAAATCTCTAAATTTAAAATATTTTTAAGTACATTTATTTTTGGTGTTTTATTGTATAAAACCTTAGACAATCAATCAGTCAGTCCTTCCTGACAGGAGCAGCAGCTATCTGTCTTTTGCTGATCTACAAATAAATGAATTGAGAATTTAGTCCGTAGAGGTCCCTGGCTACCAAACACATTCTCCTTTGAATTGTTAAAACTCAGAACCTTCAAAATAACTGTTTTGCTACAACCATGATTATTTTCCTGCTGTCTTTATTTAAATTTATTTTCTCTTTAGAAGTGCACTTATTTCTGAAAAATCTGAATGAAACAAATGCTTAGAACAAACATAAATATAAGACACTTGGGACTACTAGAGATATTTTAGATTTTTATGAAAAACGTGGGGATATTGCTGCTTTAAAAAGGAATAAAGTAATAAAAATATATCTTAGCTATTTTTTTAAAGCATTATAATTCAGCAATTGTCTAGAAAAGTAATCATCAGGCTGCTGAGTTTGGGGTTCAGTTACTGAGTTTGGTGTTCAGTTACTGAGTTTGGTGTTCAGTTACTGAGTTTCAAAAATGTTTTGGTGGTATGAGGACTTTTCCATTGAAGGTAAGATAAGAATAAAAACTATGTTTACAAAATTTCTGTTGGTGAGGTTTTTTGGTTTTATTTTTTAGTTTTGAGATAGGTGTTACCCAAAACTCAAGAAAGACTATTTAGTGAATGTAAATGACTGACTTTTACACTTGAAAATCACATCAAGAACAAAATATTTGAAGTTTATATTTAAAATCTCCATTCAAATCTGTAGCTAAAAACATATAGGCTACACAAACTGTGCTATACTTTTAGGTACTTATTGGATGTATAGCTTCTATACAACTACCCAACTTGGTCAAAACCAATTAGCAAGCACTAAGTTGAAAATGCCTCAAAATAGCATAGGAATATGTGGCCCAGGTTCCACTACCTCCTGTTCTGTGGAAGACACTGACAAGCATCATGACTTTTTCCACTGAGCCTCGAGGGAGCCACTGGGAATCCCATTCAGCCTCATTGTTCTCCAGCTGTTCCCTGACATACATCATTTCAATAATGCCACTGTAAGACACAACACTGAAAACACCGAATGTTAAAATTTGGGCATTACAGTAAACTTGGAGACACTAAATTCATCTTTCAAAAACATCTAGTGATACAAAGAACTTAGATTTGTACACAAAATGCCTTCACTTGTTTTTTACAACTACTCTGTAATTACATAATTACTATCATTTTATAGATGATGAACATGAGGCTGAGTGATTGTGACTTGCCTAAAACACAAGTAATAAATTGCCCTTGAACCCAAGTCCAGTGTTCCCTACTCCTCCAAATCATAGAGTGAGCTTCACTGATGAATTAACTCATATGCTTCTGGGATCTCAGGAGTATACATGGAATCATAGGGCCAGAGTTATTACTTCGCATACTTTTGACCACAAGTGACAGAAAACACAAGTAAAAATGGCTTCAATGATAAAGAAAGTGAGTATCTTATGTAACACTAAGACACAAGATAGCTTCTAGAGTAGTCATTTTAGCATCTCAGAAACATCAAGGAATCCAAGAGCAGTGGCACGCACCTGTAGTCCCAGCTACTCAGGAGGCTGAGGCAGGAGGATCCCTTGAGGCCAGCCTGGGCAACCATAGCAAGACCCTGTTTTCCATTTCTCTACTTTGTCATGACAAGGGTGTTGGCTTTGTCCTTGGTCTTGTTTTCTCCAAGAAGCTAGATGACTACAGAGACTATAAGCATCAAATCCTTATCCAACATGTAAGGCCTTAAAAAGAGAAATACTTCTGCATATCCACTTTTTTTTTTTTTTTTTTTTAAAACAGAGTCTCACTCTGTTGCCCAGGCTGGAGTGCAGTGGTGCGATCTTGGCTCACTGCAACCTCCGCCTCCTGAGTTCAAGTGATTCTCCTGCCTCAGCCTCCCAAGTAACTGGGACTACAGGTGTGCACCATCACGCCCGGCTAATTTTAGTGTTTTTTTTTTTTTTTTTTAGTAGAGACAGGGTTTCACCATGTTGGCCAGGCTGGTCTCGAACTCCTGACTTCAGGTGATCCACCTCCCTCGGCCTCCCAAAGTGCTGGGATTATAGGTGTGAGCCACTGTGTCCGGCCTTGCATCTCCACTTTTTAAGAGCAAGGAAAATCTTTTCCAGAAGCATTCTAAGCAAAGTAACCTTTACCTTTTATTGTCCATGACTGTGCCATCCATATAGTCCTAAACCAGTACCTGATGGGCAATTGATTTAAAACTAGTCAAGCATCATGTCCCTTCTACTGGGATGAGGCTAACCTAAAGAACATGGCCACATGATACCAGAACCAAATTATGGTGCTTTAGACAACTACAAGGTAATCAAGACGATGCCACACAGGTTTATTGCAATGATTCGTACCTGAAGCCACTGCACCTAGATTGTGGTGTTGGATCTGCTATTGCCTATGTCGGAACTGAAGGTTGGTCCATTAACATTTTTCACAGAACAGGATTGGGTCTCTGGACATCATACAGCAGGATGGACATCATACAAACAGGCCTTGGTCTTTTTCGTGCTTTTCCCATTCCTCCCAGATACTATTCATCAGAGTAGATAATCTATTGGTCCATCTCCTCTAGAGCTCGTATCAGAAATAGGCACCCTCATCAACTTATTTCCTCCCAAGATCCAGCCAAGGGTGAGGTGGTCTAATTACTGTTAGCTCAATCGCTTTGTCAAAATTGGGAAGATGATCTCTGGCTAATGAAAATTAAACATTTCTCAGGTGAGATTGCTAACTACCATCAAGTTACCTGAATTACTTTACCTCCTCATTAAAACATTCATGATCAAACTCCTAAACACAGGAAGACTTTTAAGTGTCTTCCAAAGGGAGAAAATCACGGTAGGAAAGGTAAACTGTCAATACTTACCTTTAGGAAACTGTCAATACTTACCTTTAGGAACTATCAATACTTACCTTTAGGAAAGGTAAACTGTCAATACTCAGCCTAACATTTTTTGAGATGGGGTCTCACTCTGTCACCTAGGCTGGAGTACAGTGGTGTGGTCTCGGCTCACTGCTACTCCACCTCCCAGGTTCAAGCAATTCTCCTGCCTCAGCGTCCCAAGTAGCTGGGATTACAGGTGCCTGCCACCGTGCCCAGCTAACTTTTGTATCTTTAGTAGAGACGGGGTTCCACCATGTTGGCCACGCTGGTCTCCTGACCTCAGTGATGTGCTCGCTCAGCCTCCCAAAGTGCTGGGATTACAGGCGTGAGCCACCACGCCCAGTCGTTTTGTCTTCTTGGGTAAAAAAATCAGGAACAGAACTTGGAGAACCCTATTGTACAATTCTATAGAATACCAAGAGGACTGAGGAAGACTTGGGATACCATACCTGCTTTAAGAGTGTTTAAAACCTATAAAAGTAAACATTAGTTGAGTCATTGATGCTTATATACGCACACAAACACATAATCCCTAAGGGAAAAAGAAGTGTAACTCCACATAAAAAGAGATGTGTGCACAACTATTCCCTCATTCTTGTCCTAAGTTTTGTCCGTCCTTGCAGTTTGCTTAGAATTTTAGTATATTGCTATTCCTGTTCTCTAAGAAATACTGCTTCTCTCCCCGCCACTTCCCCACTGTACATACCATACTACAACAACCTAGGCTTAAGAAAATTCACTTTTGACAAGTTAAAGCAGTATTTCCTAGAGTACTTACAGCAACTTTCAAAATCAGCTACAGGGTACATTTGAAATAAGGACTTAGTGTGATTCACCCCAAACCTACTAAATCAGTCTCTGGGGGTGGGTCTAAAATTGTGCACATTCTCATGCACAGTGAATTCTGGGAAACACTAAGCTAACAGAAAAAGAAACTAATACCTGCTCATTGGTTTTCGTGAGAAAATATATATAAAGTAACTGATGCACAGTAGGTAAAATACAGAAGTCAGTGCTTACAACAGTGCCTGGCACACAGTAGGCGCTCAATAAATACTTGTGAACAAGTGAATTAAATGACTTTTTGTGGGTGGCCCTGCTTTCCACCTAAGGCCAATCTCAAAATATTTTCACTTTTAATAAAAACCTAAATACGACTCCAAAAGCATTGAGGAAAGGAATGCATCTTTTGCTGAAGTTGTTATTTTCTAAGGAAATAATGTAAGAGGGTTTGCATTACACACTGAAGTTCCCTAAATACCCCTTTAAGATATCTCAGATTTCCTGGCCGGATGCAGTGACTGATGCCTATAATCCCAGCACTTTGGGAGGATAAGACAGGTGGATCACATGAGGTCAGGAGTTCGAGACCAGCCTGACCAACATGGTGAAACCCCGTCTCCACTAAAAATACAAAAAATTAGCTGTGTGTAGTGGCACATGCCTGTAATCCCAGCTGCTCGGGAGTTCAAGGCATGAGAATCGCTTGAACCCAGGAAGGCAGAGGTTGCAGTGAGCCAAGATCACACCACTGCACTCCAGCCTGAGCGATAGAGACTCTATGTAAAAAAAAAAAAAAAAAAAAAAATTAAAAAAAGATGCAAATTTCCTCTCCTCATGGCAGCTGCCACCATCCCCTTTACCGCCCTACCACCTCTCAGGAGTGCACTGTCCTCCAATTACCTCTCTTCTTTAGGCCACACTCAAGCTGATCTTGCCTATACCAGAAGCCCACCATAGGCCCCCTTCTCTCTCTAAACATACGGGAGAGTGTTGGCCTCCTTGTTTCTCCAAACTGCACTCATCAATCTGCCCAGCAAATCCAAGCATCTTCCCCTGAATTCACCCTCCACATGATGCTGGGGGCAGGGTAGGAAGAAAAGGTAGTTTTAAACACGAATAATTTATTTCCCCCAGTCACTTAGGAAATCAATAATGGGTAGTTGCTATTTATTTAATTTTAATTTTATTTATTCATTTATTTATTTTTTGAGATGGAGTCTTGCTCTGTCACCCAGACTGGAGTGCAGTGGCGCGATCTCGGCTCACTGCAACCTCTGCCTCCTGGGTTCAAGCGATTCTCCTGCCTCAGCCTCCCAAGTAGCTGGGACTACTGGCGTGTGCCACCACATTCGGCTAATTTTTTGCATATTTAGTAGAGACGGGGTTTCACCGTGTTAGCCAGGATGGTCTCCATATCCTGACCTCATGATCCACCCACTGTGGCCTTCCAAAGTGCTGGGATTACAGGTGTGAGCCACCACGCCTGGCCTATGTAATTTTTTTTTTTTTTAATTTACCATCTTTACCATTTTAAGTGTACAGTTCAATGGTAATAAATATATGTATAGCCTCTTTCCCCCGCTATTGTTTTCCACCCCCTCTTCTCTCCCCTTCCTGGCTTCTGTGTTATTTATTGTTATGCATCATTGGATATAGTATCTTCAATTTAACTACACTCTGAAGCAGGTGTGGTTTTTTGTTGCTGTTTTGCTTTGTTTTGGTTTTGTTGTTGTTGTTGTGGTTGTGGTTGGACCAAATAAAATATCTAAGTGGCTTTAGGGACCCCTCTCTAGACTAAGTTATATTGTTACAATCCCAGCAGGAGGTTAAAAGGAGTTTACAGCTTGTGAGGCAGTTGTTCCTAATTCCAGATGGACAAAGGAATATTTGTTCCACCTTTAAAATATTTGTTCTTGCCTAAGTACTTAGCAGTGAAAGAAAATTAATGAACAAATTAGTGACACGGAAGCAATGATTCCTGGAGAGCAAGGCAGCCCCAGGGCTTTGGCAGGCGAACCATGCTGACCAGAAGGAACTGTGTACATTCTACTCTACAAATTCTCTTGCATTCTATTACACAAATCATTCAATCATCTTTCTCACATTTTTTTTTTCCAGGTTGAAAATATGAGAAAACCACTCATTGGAAATGAGAGATTATCTTCCTATCCATCTGGCAAGACACTGTGTGTCTCTCTGTCTTATCCCATGGGTTATATAGCTACTCTTTAAAAAACAAAAAATCACGTCTTAGAAAGTAAAGCTCCAGAGCATAACGAAAAAAAGAGAGCAAGCAGGCTTTACACCTGAGCAGTAAGGGGAATACCGATTAAACAATGAAAGGGTTGTGCCCCATGGAATCCTGTGGGTCGGCTTTGCTTGTGCATTACCCTTCCTGCTTTTGTATTTTCGATTCTGGATTCCCCTTCTCTTGCTTTCAGGCTTTGGTGGAAGTGAATCATCGTTTCTAAGAAACGGGGACTGCAATGATTCACAGGCAAGCTTACTGGACACCACAATACGAACTCCTAAGAAGGTGACCTAACTTTCATGGTCTTGCTTCTACTGTCTACTAGCTGAGTGATCCTGGCCAAAATACTCATCATCTCTGAACTTCTGTTTCCCTACTAAGACAGGAATTAAGAAAGAGGTTGTGAGGCTCACTGAGCCAATAAGGGGTAAAATGCATTGTAAGCAAGGCCATGTATAGAATAGTATTTACATTTTAACCAAGATCTTAAAGCCCAGGTCTAATTGATTCTACCTGTTACCCCTTGGTAAACCACCTCAAAATAGCGTACACTTGTCTGGAAAGACAAGGTTTGATCACATTCGAGGAGCCCTTATGGAATTACTGTTTCTGAGCTGCCAGGAGAAGTTGGTGTTGGTAGAATTTGGGGTGGAGTTCCAAGTCAAAGCTAGGAATGAGACATTTCAAGAATGGTTTTGATTAGGGACGTGTCTTGGTGTGTGTTGAGGACAGCACAGTTTTCAGCACGTCTCCCTTACCTCTAGCTGCATAAGGTCCTAGTCCCTTGCTTAAGCCTGCAACAGTTTTCTCCTGTCATGCCCACTTCCGCTTGGGAACACACTTCCAAACCCCTTGCCCAGATTTTCACAATGGCCTTAAGTACTGCCCTGAGGACACATAAGGTGCTGGTTAAGACGTTGGAATTGAGTCCTTGTAGGAAAATTATTACCTTTAGGCTGGTTGCAAAGTTTGATTTGGTGTCTTCTCTACTGTGCCTTCCCTTTACTCCTACTAGATTACCAAGGAATGGGTCTAGGGACCAGTGGGAGGGCAGCAAACCAGTGTATTCTAGACACGTGGCCATAGGATGTAGGGCTGTCAAGTGATCCCCAAAAGATCTTGTTTCTGGATTTACCCAACCGTTCCAGGAGGCAAAACGGCTTCCTCGGGACCCTCTCTCTGTCATTTACACCCTCGTCTCTGCAGCTAAGCCCTTCCTTAAGCAGAAAAGAGCAGGGTCTCTAGTCCAGCACCCTTCTCCCAAACCCAAGTCCCGTGCCCTCCGCTAACCCACCGTGCAAGTATCTTCATTCACCCTTTACCTTTGCCCCGAGGGTCTACAACTGCAATCTTCGGAATGCTGGGACAAAGCTTACTATGAGCATGGAAGCCTGTTTTCAATAGGGCGATTGCTAGAGGGACTCAACTGGCCTTTTCGCGCTGTGCCGCTCGCGGCAGGGCTCGGCGGGGCGGTGTCCGCAGCGGCTCCGCCCTTGGCCCGGGTCTCTTTCCCGCCCGGGAGCCCAGCGGCGCCCAGAGCGGCGAGCTGCTGGCTCCGCATGCTCAGTAGCCGCGGCCAGCAGGGCTGCGGGGCGGCGTCGGCTGCGCGCCTACGGGCTGCGGTGGCGGCCGCCGCGGCACCCGGCAGGGCCAGCCAGTCCCCTCTTCCCCGCTCCAGAGCCGCCGCCTGGGACAGGGCAGGGCGGGCCCGGAGCTCCTCCATGCTGCCAGCCGCGGGGCTGCGGAGCCGGCCGGGTGGCTCCTGCGATGGCGGCGGAAGAGGAGGCTGCGGCGGGAGGTGAGGTTGCCTGCGGCGAGGCGGCGGCCCCAGGTGGGCGCGTGGCGCCTGACGCGCTGAGGGCGTCCCCGCGACGCCAGGTCGGCCCCCTCTGCCCCGAGGGAAGCGCCTGCGCCTGTCCCCTCGGGCCCGGCATCGCCTACCGAGGGGCGCTGGGACAAGGCCGCCCCGTGGGGCACAGGTGCGGCGTGGCGCCCGGCGCGTCCTCGCGGGGAGCGGGACGTCGGGAGGGGAGCCGGGGTTGCCGCCGGCGCTCAGTACGCCGTGTCTTGGTCCCGGGCCGGGCGCATTGGCGAAAGGGAGCCAGAGGGGGACCGTGCACCCGCGATGGGAGCGTCCGCTTCCACCCGCCGCCAGGCGCCCGCCTCGGCGTCGGCGTGGCATGCACTGCTAGGGGACTTCCTACGTTTCTTTCTTTTGTGTAAACCAGTTGTCAGCAGCCGTGGACGGAGCTCGGGTGCTGCGAACCCCTCATCTCTGAGCTGAAAATGCTCGCGGCTTCCCGGCTTGAACCGCTGCCCCGCGGTGGAGCGCGCAGGCGGGCAGGTGCGCGTGGACGCGGGGCCACACTCCGGTACCGCAGCCCGCACCGCGACAGCCCCTCCGTAAGCGACAGGCGGCTCGTGTCTTTCACCACTGCAGCTTCTGGAAAGCCGTCAGTGGAGTTAGCTTGTTCGATTATGTATTCCTGAGGTATTTTTGTGAATGGAGTTGGAAGTTTGCGGTGCTTTTTCCTTCTCGCTAGTATTTACTGGCAGTGTTCTGTGGTTTCTTAAAACGGTGCTTTTGGGACCACGGCTCACAATTACGGAATGAATACAAAACAGCTGTTGTTGAAGACAAATGAGAAGCAGGAAAACAGAAATAACTAAAGGAAGACTGGCAGAGAAGTTCAGGGAAGCTGTTAATTCTCTCCTTTCCTTTTGGAATAAGGTGGTAGAGTTTCAGATTCTTCTCTGAAATAAGGCAATGAGAGGAGGTGGCTTTCGAAATTCTAATATAATTGTGGGAATTTACATCGTGGGGAGATTTCAGAAATTCGACCATTTGAATATTCCTTGTCTTAGGTAAACCCTTTGTTGAAAATAGAAGATGGCACGTGTGGTGTTAAGCTCTGACACCCCTTCTGCTCCGTCTCGTGACTGAGCTCTGCCCTTTACTGTCTGTGTCACCCAGGTTATTTGAAATCCCTTGGTCTGAGTTCCCCCAACCGTAAAATGGAGATAACTATGCAGTCTTGCCTTACAGGATTGTTAAGAGTAAATGAGATATGAATGCCAATAAAATGCTTAGCCCGATATTTAGGAAATAGTAAGTGCTTCATAAAACATTAGCTTAATGTAGTTACTAATTTACAATTGCAATTTGCTTTGTGAAATTGGTGAGTCCTGTCTGGTCCATTAAGAAAGTGTTGTCCCACGTGAGTTAAAATTGGCCAAACTGAAAGAACGAACAGTGAAAATGCACCTACTAATTCAAAGAACGACTTTCCCCGGATAACTCTTACGAACTTATGACAAGCTTTTAGATAAAGTTTATTGCTATTTTTCTAACTATTTTAGATAAACAGTTTATTGCCCTTTGCATACCAAATGTAAAGTTGGGAATAATAAAAGTTAAATTTTCTTAGTTAAGGGTAGCAATGTTTCTGTGGGGGCTGGGAGAGCCCGCAGGTATGAGTACCTAAGATGTCCCAGACATTTCACAAGGGGTGCTTCTGTTAGTCTTACGGCAGCCTTGTGAGGTAGGTGGTATCTCCATTTCACAGATGAGAAAACTGAGGCTGGCTCACAGTTATACAGCCAGGACGCGACAGAACTAGAGTTAAAATCCATGGCTCTTGCCCATACTGCTTTCATTTCTCTCCCATCAGACTTGGTGGTGCTAATGAGCAAGTGTGCTCACTTCCAGACACCTGTTTATCTAAGGAATAGTAAAAATAAAATTCTCAACGGACAGCTCTGGGAGGAAAAAAATATATTTATATTTTTACTATTTCTCCCTATTCCCAGAGGGAAAACAAAAACAGGCCTCTGGGCCAGTTGGTGGCCATCTACAAAACTAGCCCTAAGGTTTTTGTTTTTTGTTTTTTGTTTTTTTTTTTAACAGTGTAAGCCAAACTATGAATTTCCCCACCCCATCAGTTTTAGATGGTAAACACCGAAATTGAGCATGCTGCCAGGTGACTGAGTGCCCTCCCGATAAATGATTCCAGAATCCTTGGAGTTAGGAAGAGGGCGGTCTTGGGGAGCAGCACATTTCCAAGACTGACTGCCAGAGGTGGTCTGAGGTCGAGGCCTTTGTGGGGCAGCTTTCTCACCTTCCGTTTTCTTACTGGCTCATGTTTTCACCTGTGATATTATAAGATCCGACTCTTTAACGTGTAGTTCTGCAATTACAGTGGTTTAAATTCATCTTGTGAGTCAGAAATCAAAAGTCATGTCCAAGTCAATTTTGCATAAGCTCCTGTTCCTGGCATGGATCCTTGGGCAAAATTTCAGCCAGAAATGCATTACTCAAGATAAACCAGGATGGGCTAATTACTTTTCACATATTTAAGGGGGAGGAAAATAGAGAAGGAAAGAGAGAAAGAGTGAGAGATGAGGGAGAAGAAGGAAAGAGGGGAGGTGTGAAGTAAAGAGAGGAGGAGAGGGGAAAGGAGGAAAAGGAGGAAGGAGAGAGTGAAGGAAGGAGATGGGGAGGAGGGGAGGGACTGCCACTCCATCAAAGTTTTACTCCAGGAAAAACAAAAACTATGTTTAAAATATGTAGGGAAATCAAATATCAGTAGGATAATACAGTGATTTCAATTTACTTTGTCCTCATGAAATGATTTCCTAGTTCTAAAAAGCATGATGTTCTGTTCTATGAGCATTGAGGTAGCATCCTTTTGAAGTCTCCCTTTGTGTCATGTTCAGGAAATCATAAATCAGCAAATAACAATTCATTCTAGTAGCCCCAGTTTCAGTTGTCTCCTTTAATTGAAGACCTCCACTTCTCTGCAGTGACAACTGAGTTACTCGGGTGCTTGGGATCTGGGTCATTAGTCAGCATCATCATGGTCATAAGCATTATCAGGGGCCTCAGAGTGTGCCATGTGCCCTACAGGAGGCAAGGGCACCTGATACATCTGCCTGTTTTGTGAGACAGTGATTTCCTGCCCTGATTTTTGCAAGTTTACTACCTGAAGTGGCTCCCCTGGTTCTCAGCATCCCAGCCCCTGCCTTGCCCAGTGCCTCACCCCTTCCCAGTGGCAGGAGCTGGTGGGAACTAAGAGCCTTCAGTGTAAGCCCTTATTGGAGCTGGGACTGCAGGTGAGATATGTTCTCTGTAGTGGCATGTAGGATTTCTACATATTTACTGATAATTTATGCAATACTTAGCTATGAATGCCCTGCCCCACCTGTTTCCTTCTCTTACTCAGGTGCTGGCACCCTTTCTGGTCCCTGACACATACTATTTATATTGTATCACACTAGGCTATAATATCCCATTTACCCACCAAATTTTTTAACTTTAAATATTTTTAAACCTGGCTGGGCGCAGTGGCTCACGCCTGTAATCCCAGCACTTTGGAAGGCTGTGGCGGGTGGATCTCCTGAGGTCTGGAGTTCGAGACCAGCCTGACCAACATGGTGAAACCCAGTCTCTACTAAAAAATACAAAAACTAGTCAGGCGTTGGAGGTGCGCGCCTGTAATCCCAGCTACTCAGGAGGCTGAGGTGGGAGAATCACTTGAACCCGGGAGCAGAGGTTGTAGTGAGCCGAGATCGTGCCATTGCACTCCAGCCTGTGTGACAGAGCGAGACTGTCTCAAAAAAAAAAAAAAAAAAAAATTTAAACTTAAAATATTCTTAAACTTCTTAAAATCAGTTCAGTTATACGATGTTAACATTCTCACCTGAAAATACTTAAATGGTTGGTATGATAGGAAATTTGACATTTATGTAGCTAAATTATTTGTATTTCATTTCTCTAGTCTTTGACGGTTTAAATCTCTAGATGGTATCGTTACAGAGAGATTAAAAACAAAGAAGTCTAAAGGAAAAGGAAATGTAAAGAGAATCATTCTTCCACTGTATGCTTTGCATTAAAGGATAGTTAGAATTGAAGGTTAAGACTATTGTGATAAAACAATAATTTCCAAGACATTAAAAATGTTTTACTTACAACATTTCATACATTTTTAAGTAGATTAGAAATACACTTTATCATATTTTTCAAGCATATCACAGGGAAAGTAGAGAATCATCTACTCTCCTTCTTGACCAAAGTGCCTCCACCTTGGCCCCTCTGATACGTCCTATACTCAATTATGTGAAGGGACCTGCCTTTCCCTAACATAATGTACACTTTCCCACCTCCAGGCCTTTCCTCAGGCTGTTGGCTGTTCCTGGAATACCCCCGCCCTCCCTCTAGATGGGCCTGGAGAATCTTAACCAATCAAGCTCGAAGGCTGAGCGCAGATGTCACTTTTTTTAATGTGTGGAGGAGAACTGGTGTAGGAAAATAGTATAAGCTGTGGAACTAGGTCATTGGGCTTGTGATTTCTGATTTCATTACTTGTCAGCTGTGTAAACTTGGTCAAATTTTAAAACTTCTCTGAGCCCCAATTTCCTTATCTGTAAAATAGGGGTAGAAATACCTAACTTGGAAGGTTGTTGTGGGAATTAAATGAGATAATGCTTACAGACTGTTTAATGAACTCTGACCTTCAACAAATGATTTTCCCCTTTTCCTCATGCAACCTTCCCAGAACCTCCTCGTCACCCACATTGAAATTATTCTCCCCTCCTATTTTCACATTGCAGTGTTTTTGAGTGTGTGCCTGTGATAACACTTGTGCCTGTTTGCCACAAGTTATTTGGTTTCTTAGCTCCACACTTAAGTTGCACATTCCGAGGCGGCCAGAATTAGTTCTTACTCAGCTTTATAATCTCCAATTTCTTGCACCTATGAAGTGCTTAATAAAGGCTTGCAGATTTTGAATGAAGGATGGTTTGTTTAAGGTGTGGAAAGGATTAGTTCATTCT